GGAGTGGTGGCAGTGTCAGCTCACATTTTATTTCTGCATATGATGGGAAATGCAGCACATGAGTTAGTGTGTTGTACCAAGACAGAGCAATACCATAACATCCAGCTCCAGATCTCAGTGGCATTTAATTTATAAACTGTATGTAATTTATGTTTACCTTCACATTCAGGTGTGGGGATCCACTCTGCTCTGTCTCCTGTCTTTGTGCACCTCGAAGGTAATTCTAGAGCACGTTTATATGGAGGATTGCATTCAAAGTTTAGGATTTCACGTTCATTGTACTCTTTGATATCTCCAGGTACAAAACCATTTTCAATCACCGGTGCTTCACATGTTGAAACTGCTGAAGAGGAAAGTCAAAGTAATGAATACAACTGCAACAACTGGTCATGAAAGTGTACATAAAGGTAATTGCTGATTAACCTGTTGTGAAAGGAAGATTTCTGATAAAGTGAAAGCGATCGTTTTACTGGCAAAATCAGCAAAGCAGCTGCAATGTTTTCTTATTAATTACAATTTTAAAAGTTCAATTTCAAAGTTGCTGCTCTATTCTCTTTCAGGTGGTTGGTGATTGTTGGTTGGTCCCGGATTCAAACAGATACTTTAAATAAACCAAACTTCAAAGTCCAATAATTCAATTCACTGGGTAGATTGATTTCTATCTAGATTGTGTTCTATTGTGACTAAAATATGAGCCTTGTAAATCATTGACTTGTCTTTGTATTGACATTTTATGCAGTGTTCCAACTTTCCATATTTAGGTTTGTAAATACATATGTGTGTGTTAAACCTAAGTTATACTCTGATGCAGACATGGACAACCGGAGACCCAAAGGCCTACTTGCTATTCCTGTTATACTTCTTTGATGTCTGCTTGACGTGTGCCACCTGGTGCAATACCATAGAAATTCTTTTTGGATAAGTTAGCGTTGTCAAAAAAATAAAAAAAATAAAAATCAGTACCTTCGCACGAAACCTTGCTCTAACCATCTGATGACAAAATGTATTGCACTGGGATCCGAGTGAACCCCAAGCAGATTTGTATGTGTGGAAAGTATAACCTTTACTTTATTTTCAGGACAAGAAATCCCCGAAGAGGATGGACAAGGCGATGACATCATTGTCAAGGAAAATGCATGTTACTCTTTGATATATATGAGCTTCACAAAAGAAAAATGTTTATGAGCTCATCAAGGGATCTAAAGATATTTTTCAATAGACTTCTGTAGAACCAGATGCTTTTCTGCAAGTTCCCCGATTTGAGAGAATTCATGTTGACTGAACTTTCATATTAGCTTCACTTTTCAGTCCTGAAAGCAATGCTCACCTTTTATACAGAGTTTATACATTTGTCTTTTTTCATCAGTTGTTTACAACATTTATATTTGTCATGAAAAACAGTAGTCCTTGAATAACTGAATAAATGTATCCTTTTAAGTTTATTGCATTTCCTTACCTGTACATTCATTAGACCTATGCCAGCCATCTTCTCTACAGGTTAGAGTGAAACTTCCTTCATAACCTCTCTTGCAGTTATACTGGACACGATCGTTGTACCTGTATTCAGCCTGAATTTTTCCAATAATATCTGCATTATTAAACTGTTGCCTCCTGCATTTTATCTCTGAAAGGAACAAAACCACATTTATTAAGCTTCTGCATTTACTTTGATTCAGATAATTTTGTCATGTAAAACATTCAGATACTTTCATATAATC